ACCCACAATGTACAGTAGGAATATGTACGATCACACAAGTCAAACAGCAGATTCCTTTCAAACAAACCCGTCTTTTCAGAGCACATATACAGAACTTATAACCACATTCACACACTTTATTTTCACGGCGGAGACCGAGAAGTTCTTTAAAGTGAACGCTTGTTGGAATAATTCTGCTTTCAATAACCACAAGTCAAGGATCAGGTTAATTAACTGCTTTGAATCCTAATTTCTCTCTTGTTTCCCCTTCTGCGAACGCGCGTCCTGAATGGAATGAGTTCAATTTCGTGTCCCGTTCGTGTCCTCGCGCTGGCGGTCTCGGCGGTGGGACGCGGTGTTACAAGTGAAACGCATGCTGTTACCTAATTCGTGTGACTCGTGATTAATTCGTTAGAGCTGCACTCCTCATTTCTCCGCTGACTCCCTGTAATGTGTAGCATGGATGTGCAGGCAGATGTTAGTCAAGAAGACACCCAGTGGGGAACAATGAGCCCAGAGTCGTTTTCATAATGCACTCGTTATGATCATAATGCTCTGTAGATTATAATAGATCTGTTATTGACTTCCACCGAGTTTGTTACTCCAGACAAGATTCACGTTTGTTAAAACTCAAAAGAGACGCTGGCGTGTTGTACAGCGCTAAGACAGACGTTCCTAAATCAGTTCCTCAAGTTCCACTTTTATTTGTTTAACAACTTATAACACTAATTATAACATGAGTTTCTTGGTGATTAAAAGTTCTGATAAGAAAGCTACGACCTTGTACCTGAGCTTTGGTCCTGAAATCAGGAGATCTTGAACGTTGCTCAAGTGCTTCTTGTTACATTGTGTTCTTTCGTCTAGCGTGCGGAAACACAGCACAGAATGCTAACATTACATACATGGGCTATAATTAATTATACACTATTTAAAAAAAAAATCAAACATAAATTTAAACTAGCAGAGATGACCGTGAACTCCAGGCAAACAGTAACATGATGTGAGACGAACCGCCGAAAAAAAAAAATTCCGACCCACCACAGGGTCGCGACCCGGTCCAAACATGATGTGAGACGACCCCAAAACCGCGACCCGGTCTTTGGGAAACAATGTTTTAGCTCCAAGAAGGAAGAACCAATTCTCCAAAGTTTTCCCTGGCATTTTCTAGCTTAAAGCCAAATGTTGTATAATGCGTAACGTTATGCTATGTCATCGTAGTACAAAACACTGTGTATGTGTCCTGATAAACAATCTATCTATC